GGTCAACATAACAGGTTTTGCTTTATTTTGACCATTGATATGAAGTTTTACTTATGAAAAAGCTAACATTGACAACAACAAGTTGCTTTATTAATCATGTCTGGAGCTAGGAGCGGCTGCACTCTGGTGCTGAGGTACCCAGGTACGCTGACTTGCTAAATGTCCAATGACGTAAATTGCTTTGCTGGCAGGGGTGATATGGGGGACAGAGACGCAGCATTTGTGTCTAGGATCAAAGTGCACACCGAGCCGTTAGGCTGTGAGAAACGAACGTTAGACGGACACCACAAGTGCAATGAATGCGTCATGCCTCGACCGCAGGGCAAGACCAACGGAACGCTAGCCGTTCGGATGTGAGGACTGGAAGTTAGCTAGGCACCACAGCCACAATCAAAGTGTCATGCTTCGACCGATGGGCAGTCGGAACTCCCTCTGGTGAAAAGCCAGCAAAAGGGTTCCCTACGAACTGGTTAGTGGGTCGCTTGATAGTAATTGAAGTAAAGAGCTGGCCTGGGCGCCGTTTTGGTATCGCCACAAAGGCTGTTATCGCTTCATGACTGGATTTCAACAAACCTGTAAGATTTTATTACATTGCTTTCGCTTCTAAAGGGAAGCATACTGCCGGGAGCACATGGTAAGGTTGCAGTGTTGTTCATTTTACCGTTTTGTTGGTGTCTGTGTTACAGCTGAGTATTCACCCCAGATAGGTGCATAATAAGGAATTCCTGACTTGACTTGACGTGATAATGCTTTTAGCTTTTAGTCTGCCCCGACGCACTGGTGGCACCGTTAGTCAGCACACCAATTTAGCCATGAATGCAGCCATTGTGCTCACAGCCAGACAATTGCTGGTTATACAAATTTATCAGGCCTTCGATGATTTTTCTCATGCATATTGGAGTTTTAATATTTTTCATTTCTTTACTTATCTTTAGTTAAAATTGTGAATTGCTGGTAAATATCAACGAATTAGATGTTTTCAACGTCAAACAAAGCGGACGGCCTCACACCGTCACAGATGAAGTATCAGCTTTCGCGATTGCGCAGTAGGTAAGCAGTAACAACCATCTCAGCATTTGGCGACTCGCATAATATTGCGAAACCACACAGTATGCTGTCCATCGTATATAAAATAAAATAAAAAATCCGGCTGTACAGTATACTGCATGTGCAAGTGTTGAATGCATGCGATTCACAGAAGCGTTTAGAATTTGCCCGTTTGTTTTCAAACAGTCTGGATGTGTATTCCATTTTGTTCACCGATGAGGCGGTGTTCCTTATGCATGGCGAAGACGGGGCTCGCGTTCCGTTGGTCTTACCCTGCGTTCAAGACATGACGCATTCATTTCAGCTGTGGTGTCTGGCTAACGTTCATTTCTCACAGCCTAACGGCTCGGTGGGCTCTGTGATTATAAACACACATGCCGCGCCTCTGTCCTCTATATCACCCCTGTCGGCAAAGCAATTTGCATCATTGAACAGTTAAGAAATCAGCGTACCTAGGTACATCAGCACCGGAGTGCAGCAGCTTCAAGCTCCGGAAATGATTGATAAAGCACACTGCAGATAACGGAGTGATTTAAATGTGTGTGTCAGTGAGTGTAGGTTCAAAGCGTTAGTAAGAATTATTGTGTATCTTGATAATGTCCCATTAAGTAAACTAAGCGGACGACACCAAATAAAGCGTAGAAAGCTCAGCAACTGCAAGTTCCATAATAAGTGCGAAATAAAATTAGCATAGTAATGGAAAACATGCTATGTGGGGCACTGTTGAACTCACTGAGATGTTCACAAGGAAATCTGTTAATTGTTTAGTGTAACCTGCTGGCGAACACTTCAAAATTAAAAGCGAAGGGCGCACGTGCGTCAGGACATTTTGCGTTCTTTGTCAGATTTGGGCAGAAACACTGTAAGTGTGTTGGACATTCCCTGGCGAGCGCACTCAGTGTGTGAAGACAGTTCCATGGCATTCGGAGGTTATATTGTACAGTCAGCTATAAATGATCAGGTCGACCCTACAGGTTACTGATGTGCTTGAGACCTAGTAGCGGACAGTTAATGTTGTTTATCCTTCTCAGCATATATTGCGAGAATTCAATCGAAGTTGGTAGTGCGGATACAGGAGAACCTTGAGGTTCAGCTGTGCTTCATTTGAAGTTAAGATGTGTATGAAATACTCAGTCTGCATAGATTCCACATCTGGATGACACATTTCCCGTCTGATCACAGGTAGACGGTAAGCAGTCGGTCACCAATTGAGGTGTCAAGCGGAAAAACGCTGTCCATAGTAGGCAAAAATTTTAATGGCCTGTTTTTGGCACCTGTTTACACTGTTTGGTATGGATAAAGTATACCCCGATTTTACTGTTCAATTAAGGCCATCTGTCCACACTTTGTTGAACACACACAGGAGCATTAGATAAATAATTATCTATTGAAAGGCAAACCACCATCCTCTCTTGAATTGAGTCCTTTCTGCTGAATGGATAAGGACCTACTTCATGTAACATTATTACAGACAAATTTAATCTGAAAACGGTCAACCAAATATACTTCACGGAACACAGACTCAAGTTGTTAGGTCAGCGAAAACGTATTGCCTTCAATATCGCGCGTAGATTTATGTCCCATAACTGTTAGTTGGGATGGCTACAATGCAGTTTGTACATGCGCCCCATAACATCTAATGAACGGGAATTGATTATGGTTACTCGAAAGAGATGGGGCATATCAACTGGCCGATAAACATATCTTGCCCCCATTGTCGTGTATTTCAGTGTTCTCTTAATATTGTTGTGCAGATATCTCAACAGATAACTCAAGATTACTTTGGGCGATGTAGACTGTAGAATGAGTTATAGAGGACAAGATGCAAGCACGCAAATTGGTTGCATAGACGATTGGGGTTTTAACTCCAGATTTATATATATTTATATAAATACATAAATCACCGGTATTGGTTTCAGATTCATTAAGGACTAAATTCTCGAATTCGTCAGTTAAATTTTACAATACGATCAAAATTTCATCTGGGCACTAGCAGCAAACCTAAACCGCTTTTGTGCCTACGCGATTAATAACCCATTGAATTTGTGCAAAATAAGTAAATATCTCAAACTTACTAAGCTAACTGAATGGTTTCCAAGTCACTCGCCGAAGTCCGGGCCTTTAAATTAGCCGTTGTCCTGGTCATGGAAACATTGATTTTTCAATGCCTGCTGTAAACTTATAAATTTTATATGATAAAGTTGGCAAATCTTTGATTGTGCTAGGTCCGTTGGAACATTTACCTCCCAAGGTCTTGGAAATAAGTCCCAGAGACTGCACGCATGACTCGCAGCGCGTTATCTATGTCTAAGTGAAACCCACGAGACAATGAGTTTTAACAAATGTTAGCCATTAGAGTCAGATAAATTTTTATACTTCACTTCCACCATATGTGAGCTTTGCTCAAATATGGGGATGTGCATTCGAGTTACGTCCATTCAATCTTTCCATTTATTTTTATAGTTTTGATGGTTCTCATGTTTATCGGTATCTACGTAGCTCATTGCTAGTAAATGGCCCACGATGCTAAAATGTACACATTTTAGGAAAATATGCACAGCATGAATACGAATTGACTTTAATATTCTTGCCTATATGGTCACCAAAATCTTAACCGTACTCTTTCTCCTTATTTTATGGCTGCACGGAACATGCATGTATAAATTCATTCAAATGACACTGTTGGCTATAATTGCTTGTGTCCTACGCTGGAAGGGTTATTAAAATGCCCAGCTTGCGAATCGTAGCAAATTACTACCTTTAACCTATACCTGTTTTGTAAATTGCGCAATATGTGTCTGTTCTGCTTACTTGAAATTCAGTTTAAACTTCAGTCTGTAGAGGGGTAATCTGTGTGCACAGTCCATCCCAACAGGCCGAACGGAAAGGCATGTGTAATCAGGACACAGACATATCCAGTTAACGGTGACGAAAGCAGATATTAAAAAATGATACTTAATTTAATTTGGTTCCTAATTTGATAATAAATCCATCTACTTGGGGGTCACCATCTGCTCAAAAATGCGCATACGCTGCATCATACTCGAATTCACTTAGACCGGAGCTGCTGATTAGCGCAATGAACCTTGTTTATTTCGAAAAAAATCGGTTAAAAATATATAGATTTATAACTACCTAGGGCTCTGGTATGCATATACTGAGTCCGTAATTTTCTCTCCCTGGTAGAGAACTGTGGTGGTGCACTGCAAATATGGCGTACGTGATTTGCACGTTTGTCACGCAGTGAAGCATAAACTAAAATGAATATGCTGTGATAAAAAAGCTCCATCTATATCAGCATTGAAGTGGCATCAATTGGGAGCTCTGTACATTTGTGTGCGTTCTATTGTGATTGGTGCAAATGTTGATAAAAACGTTTGTTCCATTCTACTTTATAATACTTTTAGTTCATAGTCATAGTAAGCACGATATAGTTGATTAAGGCTCCCCATCCCTAACGTTACACGCAAGCTCTGCATGGGTAGCAGAGACTTTCATTAGTTACATCTTATTGTGTCTCGTGAATTGGAAACAAATACATACAAACTATACCCTTGTCAGAATTTTAGTAAAGCATTCTAGGAGTGCAATAATGATAATGTTTATGCGACAGCACAATTCACAGTATTAATCGAAACCATTGTTTCGGTTCTGGTTCTTGTATGTATGCTAATAAATGTATTAATTTAAAACGAGTATGTTGGTTATACAACTCTGGCAACAACGTGGTGCCGGTTACATTAATCTCCTATGATATTTTGGTAAATATATAAAAATGTATAATCAGAACCCATAAGTGTGGATTATATTTCATAGATTGATCAATCGTGTACAATCGACTGCTTTGCATCAATACTGTTCCCTACGCTGCTTACACATTTCGTACTATCGATTAGAGCTAAACAAGTAAATATGTTTGCAATTTCCTTCCTGATCTATCATTCCTTTTGCAGGTTTGCAGTGCTGAATTCGGATATTCTAGACCGTCGGACAACTCAATCACGCTTCGAATCGAGTGGTTGCATATATGTCACTTATATCGTGGTGAGACTCAAATATACGATGAGTTGCTCAGTATGCAGCATTATCAGCTCTAGTAAGTTAACCTCAGTAGTCAATTTGTTTTGATGGGTACCTGCATTAATTTTTATTCCCAAATATGCCGGATCATAGTGAATATTCGCCTGTAAATCTGCACAACCAGTGTCATACTTTAGTTATAATTTTCAAACAATTTGTTTACTTTTAATGTTAGTTATGAGTTTTGCGGTAACACAGAATTGTTAAAAATTAGACAGAAAAACAGCACATTTTCTGAGTTGTCTTTCTCAGTTGCATTTGTCTGCACACAACTTTAATGATTTAGAATTGAAGCTATTTTCTGGCCAACCTTGTACTATGGGATATAATCAGGCCACTGAAAAGGTGGATGATTTCCGCGTTAGATGCGACTAAATTACCTCGCTTTTAAAGTCGGCTTTTCACCTGCCAATAAACAACCGGTTGCCGTCAGATTTCTTAAACTGATATGAAACAATTGTGCACTGTTTTTACAGGGATTTTATCGCTCCGGTAAGCATGATTAATCTCAGGTGGCATTTACCCAGTTTCGTGTGGTAAGTATCGCAATAGTTTGGTAGCAAATTTTGGCCTTAACGATACACTGGGGTTTCGCTCAATCAAACCTAAGGTTTATAGAATGATGAGCAGCTGACGTCCATAGATATCGTAACCAATTTGAATTCTGTGCACCTTTTAACTAATGAATTATTTATTATGCTAAGTAGCAACCACCAGGTAATCAGATAGATTTAGCTTATGCTCACTAAAATCATGGGTGAAGTTCAGGAATAGACTAACCCCATATTTCAGTTTAATTCGTTCATTCCAAAACCTATATCATCGATTACTTGTAGCTCCGAAAATCCCAGTCTACCTGATGATAGTGCGTCAATTTCATTCACAACGACGATGGTTACTGATAAATCCTACAGACAATAGCTTATTAATACTCACCAAAATTTCGCACCTCCGTCGATTAGGCTGGCGATTCTCCATGAGATTTGCTTCTAAATGTTGTCACTTTTGCTCAGAGCCAATCAGTGTTACTGCAAGACTGTTCGAAATAAATAATGTCGTCAATTTACATTACTTTAAAATGTTTCTAAATTGAGGTTCCTATCATTACAAAACGCAAAGATTTAATTCTCGAGCCACCTTCAGTGTCATGCACAGTTTGAGCATCAACTGAGCCATTAATGCTAATTTTTTGAAAATCCACGTCCACATTTGCCTGTACAAATGTACTTATGCGTTAATACGTTATGATATGATTTCCTTTATTGTGGTGAAACTGTTCCAAGGAAGGCTAGACAGGAACTGAGGTAAATTCGATTTTCGTGCCTCGACTTTTCATCAAAGGCTGACTTTGGGCATCCAACACAAAATGGTGCCAATAAATTACTGGTTGTATTTAAAATATTTTTACTTTTTAGCAATTAAAGTTTTATGTGGCGAATAGTTTATAATTTACGTCGACCCATTCTTCAATCATTAGTGAATCATTTTGAACACTGGTTGCTTGTTTTTATAAAAGCTTTACTACTTAGAATCAGCTTTACATGCGTCTACCAAAAACAGAATCTTGGACGAATGGTAGAACTCTGCGTGTCAAACCGGAATTCATTATATGATTTACTAATGGGTTACAGATTGCTGAGTTTGTCATTGTGATCCGGATACATCAAATTTGTTAGGTATATACCTGTTAAATGCGGGTAATAGATGCGTTATATTTCTCATGATAATTGTTAAGCGGAGTTCATGGCTCTGAACGCTTACACGTTAGGTCAAAACCCCTGTGGTTTGTATACTTGGTGCGGCTGCCCTTTTTGGATATTGCCATTATATGCGACTTACTTCGATTTGCTAGGATTATTTTTTCCTCCTAAATATGTTCGAACGGAAACGTCAGTATTTTGCAGATGATTGGACCATCATTTTTAAATTGTGCGGTTGCGAAGGAATCCTGGCAAGCAGCAAGAAAATGATTGAGATCTGCGATCGCGTTTCGGATCTCAGCCTTCAATGGAGCCTCTAAACTAACCCGTCATGCATCACTCCGCAGCCTGAGTAGATACGGATCAGAAAGCAGGGCGGCTGAACTGATTTCAAAGGTACCCTGTCCAACAAAACATAGGGCGCCCCTCATTATGAAGCAGCGCACGCAAACCATCTCTGGTTGTCACGCTAAAGCCACGCAACTTGGGACCAGTTGTGCAGATCAGTTGGAGTGGCTTGCTATAAATACCTACTGCTCCTTCTTCCTTTAGTCGTATGGAGTACTCTTCCACCATAGTTCCTTGTTCGCAATTAAGCTGTCTACACTATATCCCGGCCAAGTTGTCCTCTTGGGCAACAGAAATAATCTGATGGGACGTTCAACATAAGTCTACTCAAATAATTTGTTCCGTGCGTAGGAGCTGAAGTGTTCCACCTGCACCCCCATGACTTAGTGTGTCTGAGGTCCAATTGGCTGAAGGCGACGTGCTATACACGCACACCTACACACCTGCACAATTGATTGGCTTACGCAAGTAACAAATTAATTGAGCAGACTCATGTTGAATGCCCCTCAGATTATTTCTGTTGTCCAAGAGGAGAACTTGGCCGGGGAAATGGTATAGTTTTACTGTGCTTAGAGCCAGGGTTAGTTTTCTTCTGGATTCTAACTGGTTCACTGTCTTTTAGTGCGGTGACGATTGCTAATATTGCAGGCAAAGGCTTGCGCAAGGTGCATGGTGGCAGCGATCCTATTCAATTGAATCCCACCGTCATTATAACGCGGAAGCAAAAGTTCGGTACGCAGAGCATCCTGGAACGTATGTCTGGACCAGGGATGATCTAACTTTTCCGTCACCAATCAAGAGGCGCTTGATACACCTACAGATAAAGTTCATTTGAAAACGACGTGGAGTTAAAGCATGACAATAGTCAACGCACGTATTCTAGGAAATGCGACACTCCGGTAGGTAACCACACCATCTGTACATTTCAGTAATGTGATCTGTCTGATGCCATCTCTGACCAGCAACTGGAGGCCGCCAATTAGCACTTCGGTGCACACGGCGTTCAAATATTTTGCCACCATGCAACAGCAATTGCTCCTCATACATCTCTAACTGACGCTCGCCGTTGTCCATCTCGACGGATTTAAGTTTATATCTACCGCCTAGCTGAGCTTCCGAGGAACTCAGATGACCCGCTTGCACACTCGTATTCTTAGAAAGAGCTGTGAGATCCCAACAGGAAAAATGTGTAGTAGAGGGCTTTCTTGACAGCACCGGAAAAAAGATCAGTTGAGGCATAAGCAAAAATCGCAAAAAAGGCTTCGTTCTGTTATGCTTCCTGGGTCAATATTATCTGGTCGTCAAATGGGCTTCATTAACGAATGTTTACGGGAATCCAATCCACAAGCGATGAGCTAGCCTTGAAGGTGTGAAGTATGGCCACTGTAGCTAGACCAGTGCATGCTGCGTCAGAGTCTCCGGATGCGTGCAACCAATGGAGAGAGGATAAACCGGGCGCAGTAACTTTAACAACCCCGTGTGGGTTATTGATTTTAGTTTCTTTTGGACAAACCAAATCAATATCCAGTGTGTCTAAGGTGACTTGAGTTGCCGCATTTGAGTTATTTTCTTCGAGTGAGCAAGTTTAACGCCGCAAGTGAAACGGGACGATGTAGACTTATACGGAGGCGTTGGCAATTGGCGTTCAGTTGGTGGTACGAGAACAAATCCGCAGATGGTGGAACTGCAGCAACATTGAGGGCTGGTGCCAAATAAACTGAGAATCACAGTAGGAAAGATAGTAATGGGGAATGGTATGAAAGTAAGAGAAACACGAGGAAAAGGCGAAAATTAGGCGCCAGCAATGCCGTGCTGTTATTTACTGGCCTAGTTGTATGAAGCTTTTAAGCCGACCATTTTAAAGCTGTCGCGGCCAATGCAGGGTGTGGTCATATTTTGAAGAAATGCTCAAGGTTGTACGTGGATTGGGTTATTGCCAGGGCGACCATACAGGATAAGAAGATGAAAAGGATATGATAAGGCTCCTCAGCCAAAAGCTTTGAATCACATACATATCCTCAAGACAGCGGATCTGATAACGATTGGACTTTACATAAATGGATGCCATCCATTTTCAAACTCCTAACGTAGTGGACCAGGAGACTGATTTTATCTGAGCTCTAACCATTGACCAACCTGGTAAGCTTAACTCTCAATGGGCCCGGTGTCACGGAACCGCGTAGATTAAAGGATCGACGAGGTGCACAAACCGTCGCAGCACGTTAAAATTCAATCCATTTGCGACGGATTCCACTTTCGTTATGACGGTACAAAGTGAAAAAACCGCCAATGCATTCACGTCGACATTTTACAAGTTTTATCTACTTATCAATCCAGATCACATTACGTTTGCGTAATGCGGCCTACGGCTACCAGTGTTCACTTTGCTCAAAATAAACAAATTGACAGTGTATGTTTCAACGGTATTTGATGAAGATTAAAGCAGAAAGGAATACAGCCCACCACAATTCAGCTTTTATTATTCACCAGTGTCCAGTTTGATATGTATACTGTCTAGCCAAGCATAGCTAACTTGTGTGTCAATTACCTTAGATGGAGTTGTTAACCGCGACCTCTACACTGGTTTAGAGGACTAATTAATTATGATTAAAATATTCTGTTCTCGCATACTTTTCATTATACCTTCCCTTGGACCAATTCGTCTGGTTTGTAAAATATCACTCCATAGCAAAATTATACTACCCTTCAGCTTTCAGGATGAGGTCAGGAATCACACCACGCATGTATTCAAAAACCGGAGCTAACACTACGCGGACAAATGGTACATCTGACTAGGCCTCAACAGCTGAGACGGGAATTTCGCAATTTCGCTTGTTACACATCTTGAACCGCGTATTCCTTACGTTCATAATAAATTGTTAGCTTAATGTAAACACAAATTCACGGGATGCTTAAAGTAAGATGAAACGACTCAACCCAGTCAATCGTCCGGATAGCGTTTCCGACCTGCAGTGAACGTTGAATGAAATTACTATTGCTACGCATGTGCATTTACATTGCTAGAACAATGCGTAGCGATAGAAATTTAACACGTGTCTTTATTCTTACATCTGCAGTCGTGATGTCCAGGCACAAGCTGATGAAATAAAACGTCTAGAGGTCTACAAAAAGGAGACAGCCTCAAACCACCAGAAGACGTCCATAGTCACAGATGATGCCAAAATCTGCAATCGGAACACGCGGCAGCTCCCTTCCGTTGAGAGTCAACATGGCCAAAGCAGTACAGCTGCACCCAATTCACAAAGTAGCAAGACAGCTTGTGCCCAGTCATTACCCGATAGCACCATACACATGCGTCATAGCGGTAGCTTCTCTCGTCGTATGGAGAGAAGACAGATGAATGTGCATAATGCTTCCATGCGTACACCTCCCGTACTTATCAATGGTAGTCCACAAAACGGGATTTTAAAGAGTACAAATACATCGCCTCCAAACTTGCCACCATGGAGACGGCATAGCTCTTGTCTCGAAGATGTGGGCACAACAACACAGGGCACTCGCCGACGTCTGCCGTCGCCACCTCCATTATCAGCATCAATGTCAAGGGATGGTTATCTTTCGGTGAACGTGCAAGCTTACCACAGCTATTCCAGTAGCCCTCGATTGAGCACAAGAAACTCGGCTGGAACTTTGAACTCTTGAACAATCTCTGAGTTGCGTAAAGTAATGTGACACCGGCTGTGCTATCCGGACAATTTACGCCTATAGACTATCTGTTTACCTCATATTTTCCTAAAAACGTTACGTCACGTGGTATTTTGCTTCGAAATTGGCCGGCAAACTAATGGTGGATCGAATTGCGGTGCGCTGTAAAACATACTGGTCACTTAGCCGCTGATGCATTACTGTTCTGGCACTTTGGACGTAGTAATAATGTTGTCTGTATGTCACTTTATTTATTCTACAAGCAACAAGTACACCCTCATCTAAACTAATTAATGAATACAAAGGAGTCAGTTGACCCCTTTGTTTTTAAAATTAGCTTTTGGCGGAAAGAGCGGTATTTGCTAATGAAAGTTTCAATCGACTTTAATTTCGGTATAAATGCAGCAAAACACGAAAAAAATTGTGCATTTTGGTGTGCTTATTAAGGTAACTAGCATAGCACCCATGTTTTTTGTAAACCGCTAAAACTGTGTTGGATGTATGTCTTTCACATATAAGAGTTACAACAACGCAGTTTAACAGCATTGGCACTCTCATTTCTCCTTTCGAAATACAAGCCTTGCTATCCACATTTAGCGGAAGCAGCCATTCAGTTAGTTAGACGCATATTTGTGTCAACTAACCAGGATGATTTCTGTGTCTCAAGATCAGGTGATGCCCTGTTAAACTCACAAATGGCGCAAGTCATCCTTTTTGTGATGTATATAGGGCATGTTACGGTGCATTGACTTCGAGTGCTCCACAAGCAAAATTATGCAGACCCATACAAGTGCTTATGAACGCACTACTTTTTTAAATAAATTAATAAATTTTATGTTTCTTGGCCATGAAAAAGCGGTTCTCTAGAAGGAACAAATCAGATAATGGTACAAACTATCCATGACATTACATTAATACATTTTCAGAAAAACACATGGGTGAAATTTCAAATTAGGTAGCGCAAATTAACCAGAAGCTTTCTGGAATTTTCCTGTCTTTGAAGCAGGATTCTTCACAATCACATGACCGATGTTGGGGCCGCGAAAAAATTAAATGGAAGGAAACAAGGTGTTGTTCGAAGTTTTATGTGCATGTGTCTCGAAAATTTATTCAGTCACCAGTCACACCATTTCGAAAGCGTTATCTAGGGACTGAGATGTCCCAGACATATTAATCAGGTTATGGAAGGTTAAATGCTTACTACTCGCAAGCTTAATATTGCAAAGTTTATAATAGTTGTTAATATCACTTGGAAGTGTGTTACAAATCTTTGGGTAGTGGGTTAGAAATAAGCCTTCTGCTTTTCGTAGTAAATTTTGGAATCACAAGAATTACCTTTTTGTTACGGACGGGATTTCTGCTGTTTAAAGATATGTAAACAACGTTATCACGACTGCAAATTTGAGAGTTTATGATACTGTAAAGAAAACACAGGTTCAGCTTTATTATCTGAAGCCAAACTGGGTCAAATCCAAGTTTTGCACATCGCCCTCTATATGTCAAGTTTGAGGAATATCCACATCGCCTATCATGAAAAGTCTCTCGAACCTCTCAAGAGCGTGCTGGTCAGAGTTCCGCAGATTGGACTGTAATATTGAACAGTATTTCATACGCGGCAATACATATGTTTTGTAAAGCGTTATGCGAGATCACGTGAGGTAAAAATGATGACAGATATAACCGATGTTCGTCATGGCTTTCGAAACTTTCAATTCGCAGTGTTCAAAAAAGTTAAACGTGACTGAATATCGCACGCCCAAGTCGCGCACTGCCCTGCATTGCGAGATATATGCGCCTTATATTAATAAACTGTCTGGCGGTTCTTGTCATTTGTACGACAAACTATTACACATGTTCACGGAAAATGACTTCTTCCAGTTGTCACTAGGAGTCAAAAGCAGATAGGTCTTCCTGCATGAAATGTACTGCTTCCTGGGTATTTGCATACGGTTCTGAGTAGAACTTTAACGTCATCAGCAACGATAAATGTAACACCATTTCGTATTCTCTGGAATATATCGTTAATATGTTGGAAAAAGAAGAGCACCAAGAACACTCCATTGAATCACTCCGCAGGTGAGTGCTTTCGGTTTATAGAAATGGTCGCTTATACGCACTACATGCTGTCTACCAGTTAAATATGACCACATCCAAGAAAACATCGGTTCTCCAACGCCGCTAGCCTTCAGTTTGTTCAGTAACCCACTGTAAGGCATTCCATCAAGGGCTTTTTCATATCTAGGAAGAGGATTACAACATGATTTCCGTTGTCTATACTAGCCGTTGTGTTGTTTAAAACCTGAGTCTGGCATGATGCGCAGGATCGACATTGCAAGAAGCCGTGTTGCGAATTGCTGATGATGTTAGCCTTGTTCAAGAATACATTTAGTTCATCTTGCATTTACTTTTCCATTCTTCTAGAAAAGATGGGTGTGTGATTGTTGAGACGAAGGTTGTAACCACCGGGCAGCGTATTTTTGCGTCAAGGGATAAGGGCAGCAGTTTTTCATTGTGTTGGTTTTGCTAGGTTGTTAAAAGAGAGTAAAAACATTTTGAGCAAAAGCAGAAAGAAGTCACTACCACTGCATTTTATTAAACAAGATTATCTCATCGTGGCCTTCGCATGTTGAGGAGCATAAGCGAAATTCTTCACCGGTGATTTTCGGTGTGGTGAACTCCACTGTTTTGGGGCACGATAAATGCTGGTGTGTCTGCTGATTCATTAACCACTGCTTCGGCAAAACAAGCATTGAGAGCTTCGCAGATTTCACCTGGTGCGCATTAGTATGTTCCATCAAGTGTTGCTGCAATGTCTTGCTGTAATGAGAACCCCGGTGCACGGAAGAATTTGACTATCTCAGGTGTTTTGCCGGGACCGTCAGATCTTTATTCCCTTCTAGAATGTGAGTTTGGCCATTTTGATGCCTCTGCTTGTGACAAGCTTGGACTGCTATAATAATAGCGAAAATGTAGAGGTTAAACTGAATTTCTGCCGAAACTTACGAAGCTTTCGTGATGCCTTCAACGTCTTGATAATAGATTTATATTTTGTTTGGTAAGCACATTTTAGTGGTACCGCCGAATCGATGCAGAAGCCAGTTTTACTATAAAACAGGTCCGTTGCATATTGATGACATAAAGAGAGAAGGGTGTTTTCCTAATTATCGAAGTAACCAGGTCCTTGAAAGAGTTCCAGTTGAGGGAACTGAAAAGAGGATAATGCATTTTGTTCTGTACATCGGTCATGTCTAATCTTAGGCTGCGTTGGGTCACGCAAAGTTCGCTCCCTGGAAGTTCACCAAGGGTGTCAACACTGTTTGCAGGTATGCGCAAAGAAAGAAAAGGTATCCAAACTACTTTCAAATCTGGAAGGTTACGAAACGTGTTGCTGCCATCCATTCATTTGAATACCGGGGATAATGTTTTGGTCTTTCAAAGGGCGTTTCCCATGGGCCATGAAATGGAAGACAGATTGAAATCACCTCCAATAATATATAAATTGTAGTCTAACGACCACTTTAATTGCAAGCTTGAAAATTTCTAGGTCTTTCTGGCTGCAGATTGGCGCGCTGAATATACAGTCTACATACAGGTACTGCCGATTAACTGACATCATAAGCCATAGTAATACCTGGACTTCGTTCAGCACTGGGTTCCCGAACTTTGCTGCTGCCAGCCATTTTTCAGATAAATTGCACAGCCACTACCTAGACGACTAGGCCGATTTCTCATAAAATTTCATATCCGAAAATAGTTAACTGGTTGTCAAACATATTATGGCACCAAGATTCAATAATAAATATTAACTCAGGATTATTCACCAAAACACATTTGAGTAGAGCGTCGAACTTAGAGTGAAAAGAACAAACATTTATCAGAAGTACTGAGATGTATGTGAGATATGAGGAATATGGTTTAGGTTGTGTTATATACACTAGAGTTTCAAGCCGTGTACCTTGACTCAGGCTAGAAATTGTTGAAAAAATGTGTGTTTCGTCAACAGTAAAAAATGATAATTTGGTGACCACATATGAGGGGATTGTGACTGAGTAGACACTCTAGAAAGTGGTTCGAGTCAAACAGTCCATGATTATAGTAATCGCTTTACGGAGCTGGATGGCTAGGTTGTGACCCATTCATCATGTCACTAATAGGCTGTTGGTTACGCAACACATTGATAGGAGACAGTGGGTTGCTTTCATTTCATATATGGGTAAAATCCGCTTATTTGCTCTCGATATACGAGGTATCACTATACGCGGTGGAAGCACACTGGTGTCAATCCCTACAACACCATCAGCATAATCCGTGTGGTTCGTTGATGGAATCGGGAAATAGTGGTGCCTAATTACACCCGTGTGTAAGGTGCAAAGATTGCGACCTGTCTTCCACAACTTTATGACCAAGAGAGGTACATCTATACAAAGAAAATGATGAGGCAGAGTCGTCCAATGAGAGTTGAGATAATTCGACGTCAACCGGCCTTTAAATATTGATGAATTTGACCCGATCCATCCATTTGCTGGATGAGTTTGGACCTTGGCCAGAGCAGGCATCAGGCGGAACATGACATTCCGAGGCTTGAGGTAGCGGTTTTGAATGCAAGTGGAATTTGGAAGAGAATGCAGTTGTTATTCGCTGCTCCCCGCCGTTATCATTTCGCATGCAGGAAACAGCATCAGATTGTACCTGACATCGACCAACTAGACAAACTCAAATTACACTAAACTCACAAACAGGGAAATCAAAGTAGGATTTCAATTTCTTTTTAAAGTTATGTCTTCTGCATCTGGCACCAATGTATAAAGTTCTCTGCCAAGGTACACAGGGTATGCACAGCTGAAGATCTAAGGCTATCTTGTCCCCAAACATTTCACATGCAATCTGCTTGTAAAGAAAAAATATTTCACTGCACAAAATACATACAATGATGTCCTCGTGAAATTTGTGTGCATGACCGAACCAAAGTACCGCAGGATCAGGCAACAAAGTCTGTT